ATCTCTCGTACTAAGGGGCAATCTTAATGCGCACATCGGAGTAAACGCTGAAAGTGGAACGGCGTGATTGGGAAAAACGGCCCTAGCGACCTCAACAATAACGGCATGAAGTTCTTGCGGTCTAGTGCAAACAACGGATTGTCCATTTTGAACACAATCCAGCAACGAAGACTGCATCATTACACATGGTACCGGGAAGCTTGTACACACAAGTCGATGATCGATTTGATAATCGTATTGTCAGACTTAAGACGCTCCGCAATGGATATTCGCATTAAGAGAGGCGCAGAACTTTCAACCGATCATCAGTTTGTTGCTGGCACGCTGCGCGGTAAGAAATGGAGTACCATACGAAGATCTGGTGGCAGAAGCAACCGGAGAATCCAATGGGAAACATTGTCTTCGGTGGACACGAGAGCGAAATTTGCAAACAACATCGCACGACGGTTTGAACAAATCCCAGAGATGACAACTGATGTGAAAACAGAATGTCAGCTGTTTAAAAAAGACCTACTCGATGCTGCCGCCGAATGCTGCGGATATAAATGGGCTGGCCTGCCGCATGGAGGTCAGAAAACATCTTCATGGTGGACACTAGAGGTACAACTGGCAGTTAAAGAGAAGAAAGCAGCGTCCAAGAAATGGCTTGGAAGCAAGGAGCCTTCTGCTCGCGTGCGATATGTCGAGACACGCAAGGCGGCAGCCACAGCAGTGACAAAAGCCAAAGCTGATTCCTGGGAGAAGTTCGGTGAGGTGTTGGAGTCGAATTTTCAGACGGCAAACAAAGTATTCTGGCAGAGCATCCGCCGGCTCCGAGGTGAAAAGACGGGCAGTGTCAGAGTCTTGAGGGACGGACCTGGACACCCTTTTACCAAAGATGGTGACAAACTTCAGTAATGGAGAGAGTACTTTGAGGAACTCCTTAACCCCGCGCAACAGCAGGAAGACTCGTCTGTAGAGCAGAAGGGTACGAATATTACGGTCTCTGTAGATGAAATTGCGCAAGCTGTGAAAGGCTTGAAGAATGGAAAAGATGCTGTAATTGACGAAATCCGCCCTGGCATGCTCTAGGCACTAGGCGAACAAGGCATTTGCTGGCTAGCACGTGTCTGTCGAAGTGGGATGACTGCGGGAAAGACAAAAGGGACTGGAGAACGGGAGTTATTGTACGCGTATTCAAGAAGGGAGAGACCAGAAGGAATGCTCAAATTATCGGGGCATAATGTTACTGTGCCTCCCAGGT